CACACACACACACACACACACACACACACACACACACACACACACACAACCTGGACTGGACAATGTGAAAACAACACACAAAAGCTGCTGAAGCTGTAATATTGCTACTCTCTTCTATCCAAGCCAGAGCAATTTAATCTCAGTGTCTTCCTCTGGCTTTATAAAATAATTGTGGTCGCCCGCACACTGTTTACGAAATTTATTAAGAAAAAAATAATTTAAAAAAACCTCTCTGCGAACATAATGTTTAGCACGGTGCCCTGAGGAAGTTCTGAGGTGTCACCAGCTGAAAAGATGGCGTCAGAAAACCAAAGACGCTCCTCCAGCTAAATGCCTGTTCACAAGGCTCTCATGCTACAGAGGTTATGACACTGTGCACCTGACAAATACCTGATGCCGAAGTTCAATCATCCCTACACTGAGGAGCAGAAGAGAGGGAGACATGAAGAAAACAATCAGGCAAATAAAAATCATCAACCTCATTTTCATTTCTTGTGCGATTAATTGATTTATTGCGATTAATTGATTTATTGCGGCAGGCCTAGCTGCAGGTCTTATAGCAGACATCCAGCATTTTATTGCAGTTTGAACAGGTCCAACTTTGATAACAAAATAAAAGTTATACAGCTTGAAGTTCCAGCTTCTCAAAAAAGCCTTTTAAATTTTTTTTCTTAAAATACAAAATATATTTAACAGTGTGGAAAACAGTCGTCAGGTCAGCAGGGAAACCACTTTGCAGTTTGGATAACTACAGTCCTCCACAAAAGCTTTAAACAACCCCTAATTTTTTTTTAAATGTGGATGTGAAGGAGTAAGGCTTGTAAGCTTTAGAAAGGGTCTCAATCAATGTTTTTTTAAGGCTTTCTGAAGGTTTTTCTTTTTGTTACTTTAAACTTTGACTGCTTTTTCACTTTCCAGTCCTTGTATGTGAACATTGCAGCATAATGTGTTGTCTTTGATTAGAGAATGATGAAAATGAACAAGCGGAGAACTAAAAAAATAAGGTCAGCCCTGAAAAACTACTTTCAGCAAATAATATGACCTTATGGCATGTTTTCAATTACAAAAACAAGAATATATTTTAAAAAGGTCAACATATTTATTTCTAATGTATACGTCTATATCTATAGTTTTTCTTAGACTAAAAATAAAAAATGTTGGTTTTAAATTATTGTAAAAAAAACAAACATTTTTAAAAGCCTTTTTATTAGATGTGGGGTTTAATTAAAATAAATGTATAAAACAGATTTCAAGTACACTTAAGTAATTGTCGAACACTCCCACACAAATGATAAATGGGAGGCCTATAGTGTATGTGTTTTTATGGTTAATTGGCCTCATTTAGCACAATTTTCAGCGCCATTCTCCTGTTTTTTTATAGCTGCCACAATGCTTCATGTTGAAGGCTCTCTGCAGCAGACAGCATACAGAATGCAGCGAGGATTTTGATGAGTTCATTAGGAGGCCACGCCGTTTATGCACGGTCACACATGAGGCAAAGGTCAGCCAGGATTACCCAGGTGGTCACTGTATGTGGGTGTCACTTTGATTTCAGACTGCACTAAAAGCACGCTGCTCCTCTGCAACAGCTAATTGGAAATCATCACATTTTTGCAATAGCATGTTGAATTCAATGTCCTTATTATTTTTGTAAAGTTGGAAGATGGCTAAAATAAACATACCTCGGGATGCTGGGAAGTCTAGTCCGTGTCACACTGCTGSTGTGAGTACAGAACAGACTGCCTGTTTGCATACAGAAAGCCCTAAAATGAGTTAAATCTTCTCTATAATCTCTGGGTGCTGTTTTTAAACATCTAACAGCTGCATCTCACATTTTTTTAAACAGTAAGTGAAATTTATCAAAACCACAAGAAGTCGCTTCTTTCAAATCTTATCTTCACAAATTGCAATTCCAGTTGGCTGTATTCATAATTCATCAGCATGGGTCAGGCTCATGATCATGTTGACATAACATTTGGTCTGACATTTCAGCCCTGCTCATGCCTGTCATTAGCTCTCACCACACGAAACCTCATCAAAGTCAGTCACACAAGTGAGCAAGAACAAAAGGGAGAGGAAGAGGCGGGAAAAATCAGAAAAAATACAAGTCATACTAATAATAAATACAGTACTGGTAAGGCATATGTCTATCTGATTGTTTTAGACTGAGAAATTGAGAGTATGTGAGTGACAGCAAAGGATAAATATGGACAYACACTGTCAACACTGCCAATCCAAAGCTCAAACTTGGGTACAACCTTTTTTTTTCATGAGCTGTCATCCGGCACCTGCTGCTCCTAAGCTAAAGAGAGAGAAAATAAATAAAAATAAAAAATGGGGCAGCAACACATCTCTGCCAATAAAAACAACAACATCATTCTGATTCCACAAAGGCAATGTGGGATGATATCAAAGTATAGCCGTTGTCCTCAAAGTCATTTCCGACCAAAGCAAGGACACGCCTCTCACACACATCAACCCCAACGAGCAGGATGACCGGAGTGCAGACAATAGGCAGGGGAGAAAAGGCAGGGAGTTCTTACAACCTCCTGTCAGAGGGTGACAGCTCTCCATCAGTCCACATCAAACAAGAGTACACTGCAGGCATACGAAGAAGAATGAACTCTGATTGACCAACACCAACCTGTCTCAACCTGTCGCTCTGCTGGATGTAACAGACCAAACAAACTGCCCTGTGCACTGTGTGTGTGTGTGAGGATCTGTGTGTGTGTGTGTGTGTGTGTAGAAGCTGGAGCTCAAGCCTAGACTGCGATAGAGTGGTCTGGCTTGTAAAACTGAGATGACTCAGGGTAAAGGTTGTCGATGGATCTTTGTGTGAAGATGACAAAATAAAAATGTAAAGGTTCCTCTTACCTGCAGCTTGAACCAGATCTGCAGTGGTCACGTTCTTGGGGTTTGGGCCGACTCTGAACGTCAGCGCGGGACCCAGGACGCTGCAAAATAAACAGCAAAGGAGAATCAGCATGCGAGGAAAAGCTTTGTAGTCTCACTGCACTTCATTTGTAATATATAATCGATGAAACTTTTACTTTTAGACAGAGGTAAGCTTGWTTTATGCTCCTGTCTTAAATCAGAGATAAGCTTTAACTCTGAGTCATTACAGCTCTGACACCACCTCGATTGGTTGTTCAGAGGCATAACAGTAATGGGATGACTTCAACACTCTATTCTGCTTCATAAATTACACCAAGGTTTTGCGTACGTCAAATAATGGAGGATTAAAAATAATAGATGGATGTAAATTTACAGTAAATTTACTTTAAACCAACAATGTATTAACTATTCAGAGATTGGGYATCTGATAATGTATTGATCTGATCAAACAGCAAACAGTCAAAYGATACTGGTCAGTAATTATAAACAAGACTGATGTTAATACCTTGCTGCTTTTGACAATTTTGTTTAAAGAATTACTATACATTCGAGCAAAAATAAAAGCTTGTGTAAAGCTACGATCGATGTTTATATTCAATATAAAAACTGACAGAGCACAAATACTAAGTAAGATATTTGCAAAGTGCCAAGCATGTCACATAGCTAAATCTTTAGGTGGATATAAAGTCTCATACTGGCACACTCATATAGCTAAGCTTTAGAATATGCATCAGTCTGATACAGGGTCATAGTTWCCACATAATGCTTAAAAAAGCACTGTTCGTCTTTAAAATGAAATAGTAAARGCAAATCATATAAGCATAAAATGAAAAATTTACAGATTTATGTATCAATGTGTATTAGATGAGTGTAACAAAAGGTTACAACATTGAATTTTAGGTTTTCAGAGATGAAATGAAGTAATCCTCATTGATGTTGTTGGTGTTAGATGTGCACAGCTGCTGAGTTCTTTACAGTTTTATGTGGCTTTGTTCTTAATAGTATAAATTCAGTAAATTTGTGGTTCAAGCAATGAGAGGCCTTTTTGTTATTTTGATATATTTCAGGTTATGTTGAAAGGATACATGTTAGAAATTGTAGTTCCATCATAATTTTAAGATTTAGGTTTAGCTTAAAAAATAAATGATGTGACAAGGAGCTTGCAAAAAAAATGGAAAAAGCAGCTTTAAAACCTGTCAGGCACTATATTGTGAAAAGTTATAAAATGGTTCAGTATGCACACTCTATCACAAACAACAACTTTTTTCATACAACAATTTCATAAACTGGATGTACCAAGTTTATTTTTGATGTTTTTGTAGATTTTCTTATTTTCAGACTAACAAGCTACAGTTTTGGGGTTTTGTTGTTGGCAAGAAAAAAATGTGACTGTTTGCTGCTGCTGTAACTTAGCTTTTAAGTAAATAAAAAGCAAGAAAGCATTTCACAAAATTTTATCAGCAACAGCACTACGATCGATGTTTATATTCAATATAAAAACTGACAGAGCACAAACACTAAGTAAGATATTTGCAAAGTGCCAATTTCTTCTCTGAAGATGGTAATCATCATTATTTACTAGCCCCCTTTTAGTTTAAATTCATGTAAAATCAAAAGTATAATTATTGTTTGAACACCTTTTTTATTCCATCTGGTCAGAAGTCAGCAACATATTTTTCTCTCTGGTGCAAAACAAACATGAGGTCTCTGAGGTTGGCCATGAAATAAAATCTAACAATCACAGCACACTCTCTWTAGTAGGTAGGAAAAATAAAACTGTAGTATTGTGACCTTAAAGTAACCCTACTCGCGTTTAGTTCAACTTCTTTATATCCCATATGAAAAGAGTTTTATAAAATGAAAAGCTGAAACTGAGAAGACGTATTTTTTGACCGAAAAAAATAAATAAAYACAACAAACAAATCCTGATCGTAGCTCCTCATAAAAAAGATCAACAGGCAATGAAAAACATTTCATCCCCCCATGAATGATGAAGACTCTTAGGAAATATCAGCAACAAACATGGCAGCAGCAGGATGAGGAGGTGAGATTATTTTTGTTTAGCTAAAGTTCAATTGAAACACGCAGACACCGAGGATCAAAACAAAGCATGTGTAAAGAAATCATCAATGCGCAAGGCAGATGCATTGGCCCTTGAAGAGAAACAGGATTTTAAAATACAAGAATTAAACATTCATCGTGCTATCGAGTATCTGGAGTATTTTCTAATGTCTCAAATGGTTAATTTTCCAGAAGCAAGTGAGCTGTAAAAAATTCAATCTGTATCAAATGCAAATCAGAAAAGTAAATGCTTATACTTAGATTACAGAGTTGAAGAATAAAAAAGATATTACTCTCCTGTGTTTATAATAATAATAATAATAATAATAATAAAAATCAAACTAAATCTAGGAACTGTTTATAACAGCTTAGCATGAAAAGGTGCTTGTCAGTCATTCACTCAGTAATTATGCACATAAATAATCATAATCCATAAAAAATTTACTAAACCAAGCTTAACGTACTCTAAGTTTTCACATTGAGCTAAAACAACCAACAATGTTCAGCTAAATCTATTTTTAGTAACTTTTTCAAAGTTCAAAATTCGTGAATTTTTAAAATAGGAAGCAATACTTTATTATAAGGTTTCACAAACAATATGAGTGGGGGGATGGCTAAAATATTCTCAGTATTGCAACTTTTTTAAAATAATTTGAGCATATCACAGCCATCAAATAAAAAAATTCAGGACAATGTTTTACTCACACCAGACAACACACGCAACTATAAAAAATGAATTTTCCTGTTTTAGTATGCAGACAAGGGGAAGAGTGCTGGAAAAAAGTGAAAAACAACGACCCCAAACGCTTCATTATATCAGTGACTGCTTAAAACAGCAGCCTCTTCCACAAAAGGCATTTTTTTATTTTTTATTTTTATAAAATAACTATGCACAACATGAATAATGCCCTGATACTGTTGTAAGATACAAAGATAAACTTTAATTTTCTGACAGCTGCAATGTGCACTAGTCACTGAGAACAGATCGTCTCGCTTTTTCTGCAGCCTCGGTCCACCCAAACCTTTCAGTATGCCATCGTACCTGATCTGTTAGGGCCTGGAAAGAGCACATACATTTTTAGTGTACTTCCTGCCAGACTGCGCTGTGCGACAGAGATGGAGACTCATCAGACTGCCAGAGTGCTGTGACCCAGAGCCACTCTCCATCAGTCAGCCCGCTACAGATGCAACGACAATCGGGCCGGGAGCAACGGGTGAGCCGATACTGCTCGACAGACGGACCCAACCGTGCACCGGTGCATTTATGAACACGCTTACATGCACGCCTACGAACGTGCATGCACAGCTCAGGACGAAATATGGCTTTCTCAAGCACCATCACCTAGGCTCTGTTTGCTCACGTAAATGTCAATGTTTCCACAATCTTTACCCCCGCATCTACTCTCCCTGGCCAGGGGGGCCACTGCCGGAGATCCCGATGCATCTCAAATTGAATTGACATGATTTTTTTTTTCATCTTTCCAAAGCCACACAAACACTATTTAAACACTCTGATGGAGAAAACACGGCCATAGCTGGGAGATAAAGTTAAGATAGATAAGTTTTCTGGAGGAATTCACACTTTTTCCTCTGTTTTCAGATGTATGAATTTGGACTTCATTTTAGCTCTGCTGGTGGGACATGATGAACGTGTGTATGTATGTATGTGTGTGTGTGTTGGCAGGATAATGTCAGGGAGGATGGTGTGTTCACTTGCACAGACTGTGTTAGAATGGACTTGTGAGTGTGCGTCCCACTCCCCCTAGTGCCATTGACGAGTAAAACACTTACGTCATCTCAAAGAGGCACCAACATCATGCTCATCAACATCCAAAACTACATTTTAAAGGAATAGTTTACCCTGATTACAGGTGGGTTCTAWCATGTTTGTGTTTAGCATCTGTGCTTTTTTAACACAATTTAAAAACTATAAAATTAGTATTCTCTTCTCAGACAGTCTGAAAGTCCTCTGCCTGCTTGTCACATTTGAGTGTCTCTTCTCTCTTCCTGCTATCAGGACTCATCAGAGTGGGTGGAAATGAGAGGCCGCCGAACAAAGCAGGCCGGCGTGCTCTGACCCAGCCGACACGTATTCAGACAGAAGCTTTCAAACACTCACCTGTCAACGCAGAGCAGCAAGAAAGAGCTTGCGTCATATCCTTCGCCTCGACTATTTTTACACGGCTGTGCTTTCATTACTTTGTAAAAGTGGGAAGGGTTGGAGGGAAACAAACTAGACCGAAAGTACATTTCCTCAATTCGTCTTCTGAAAAGAACAGTGGGGAAAATAAAATGTAAAAACATTTTAGACAGCTTCTTTGCAGGCTGTGGCTTTTACACCTCCTCATGTGTGCTGATACAGTGTCACACTGGAACATGGTTAAGTTCTTTTGAGGTAAATTAAAACTCAGAATTGATACCACAAATGTGAAATCACAGTGTTGTAGTACTCGAGAACRGTCTCAAGACTGCTTTTTGAAAGCTTCTGTTCCATCTTGGACTCGACCGCATTCATACTCGGTCACGTCTCGGTCATTGAGGACTCGAGATTTTATGTCAATATCAGTCAAGACCACAACAGTGAAAATATCACTAAACTGCCAGAATACTGTCCAGTTTATTTGTTAAATATGTATTTTTGTTACCACTGTCACMCATTTCACCCCACCTCATTCTTCTCGCACGTGGCACTCCACAAAAGTGAGCAGTGGTTGTCTGGGAGAGGGAGACGRTGTCTGCAAAATCTTCAGTAATAAAATTTTCCAACATAAATCATAAAGAATATATCTGTAAACAACGTCCAGAAGAAAGCATACAGCAAWYTGTAAATTTGTCAGTACTTCATTTTCAGAGATGGCAAGGACTACATCAGTTTATCGTCACTTATAAGGAAGCCCAAAGTAAGGTAAGCTATAAGTAAGGGATGCTAGCAAAGCTAGCTAACATTAGCAACATGCCTCTGTAACAAAATTATTCACCACAAAGACATTTAGTCAATATTAGCTTTATTAGCTACCTGTGTAAAGTAAACTGTATGTTTTAGGGCACTAGTTTTTTTATTTTATTTTTCAATCTTGGTCTCAAATTGGTTTCAGCTCCTAAAAGTCTTGGTCTTGTCTCGGTCTTGATAAACTCTTGGTCTTAGGTTAGGCGGTCTTGACTACAATACTGAGAAATTAACCGTGAGACACTATTTAAAAACAATTTAGGTTCTGTATTAAAAATCCTACGACGGAGCATTTGGGCCACACAACGAGATTTTTTTTAATTATTATTACGAGATTAAAATCGTAATTGTATGAGAATAAAGTCGTAATATTACTAGATTAAAGTCGTAATATTACTAGAAAAAAGTCATAATCATGACGTGTCCATTTTCCTGTTCCTCATTTCCTCCTTATTTTCCTCACACCTGCTGTGTACAGCCATGTCTCTGTGTCTATAAAGTAGTCCTTGATGACTTGTCACTGTTAGATTAATATGCTTTCATCCAAATTAGCTACGTGACGACTAAATCTGTAAATGCATCCGTTAATTACAATACAGCTTCAGTTTATAGTCGTTTGCACAATTTCCAAGTCCTGCTACTGATAATTTGATGCTAATGTGCTAAAAGATTAACTATTTATAGCAATACTAAAGAAMMACTTGACAAGTTGCTCAACATTCTTCGTTTTAATGCAGTGCTAACTGCATGCTTTTTTCGTGTAAAGGGTATGACTTTAATCTCGTAATATTATGACTTTAAACTCATAATATTATGACTTTAAACTCGTAATATTATGACTTTAAACTCGTAATGTTATGAATTTATTTCTATACGACTTTAATGTCATAATATTATGACTTTATTCTTGTAATTTAAAAAAATATATCTCGTTGTGTGGCCCCAATACTCCATCGTAAAATCCAATATAAACCTGAGGGAGAAAAGAAATCTTAAATACATGTCAAAAACGTAGAGTATGTTATTTTAGCTGCAGTAAAAACATTTTTTTRATTCTCAGTTTGCCCTTTTCTTCACATGAAATGCTTTAAAATCATTTGCCAACAACACATACACCTACAAATCCATATACACCATTTTGAAATGAGTCAGTAAGGCTGCAAAGTAAGTTCTAGCTTTTGTGGTATTTTGATTTTAAACAGAACCTCTTAATGCAAGAACACTTACTGCATTTTAATGAGTAAAAGCACCTTTACACAAACACAATAATGTCACTGGCTTTTCATCAACATTAAGATAATGACATTAATCATCGCTTGCATGAGGAGTTAATTTTGAGTGATATGAAATGACAGCTGTAATAACAAAATTAAGTAAAATCAGTGCCAGCGTGATGACACATGCGGGTGTTCTGGCTCATCAAAACTAAAAATGGAGGTTGAATTAAAAAGGCAGAGATCTCCGTGGCTGCATTAATGTTGGGTTTTACACAATAAATGTTATTCAAAGCTGAATATTCTGTACTTTAGTTGCATTGCGGTGGCACACTGCGGCTGACTGGCTTAGTCTTTTACATGCTGCAGGTGTTATTGAGCCACCCAGACTTCACTTTTCCTGCAAGAGCATTTCAAAAGGCTTGTCAGATCTTAGACAAACACACCTCCTCTGCCTCCTACATGGTCTGACACCAAGCGCACAGAAGAATCATGGCACAGATGCAGAATGGACTGGGTTCAAGGACAGTTCAGTTGCTTATTAATATATTAACTGCCTCCTGCTGGACTGTTTTAGATGACTACTTTCAGTTTTCTTCCATTTAATCAACTAAGAGTTGTTTGAAAGCTAAGCTGCCTTTGTCTGGCGAGAGATGCAGTGAAAAACAAAGTGTTTTGAATACAGTGGAGACATCAGTGTGTGCCTGGAGATAATTGGGCCTGATTTCTCTCACTGCACGAAGTCAAACACTTGTAAAGGTCAGAAAACAACCAACGCCGACAGTCTCTTGCAGTTTAGTGCATCATTTTTACACAAATCATCCTTCCAGTGGATGGGAAACCTTTATCCTTCTTTTTTAAACCCCAAAAATGTTATCAATGTAACCAATTATTCTTGATTTGGTGAATAGTCTGTAATCTGTGAGGTAAATCCAATGACAGTRTATTGTGTTTACACTTACGAGAGCTGGGTGAGATCTGCAGCATGAAGGTTCAACCTATGTGTCAGCTTCTCCATTAGGTCCGTGGCCCGGTCATTGGTGAGAGACCTGGTTGAAACACAAAACACAGCTTGTTTGAAGGCTCACAGCAATAAAACATTTGCTCAGAAATCCAACTATTATTTTAAAGATTTTTAAGGGAAATACAGCTGCAATTCATTCCCAAAAATGGGTCATTGCACACAAGCAAAAGCTATGGTTGTCTGAACGGATGTTCTGTGGAAATTTGCACATTGAAGACAGACACAAATAAACACACAAAGCAACTGTGCCATGGGAAAAGGGATCAGCTGCCTCTCCAGGCTTGGTAAATCACCTGCTTTTTTTTTCCAGCAATGAAACAAACAATAAGGTGCAAATGGAACCTGCATGAGGTGTAATGGCTGTATCATATGGATACTCCTTCCTCTCCCTATCCTCGTCTCATCTTTCTTCTTCCTCTGCATCGACTTTCTCTGCCGTGCGTGCCTGCAGCCTCAGACTAAAAACGTGATAACAAGGAGCACACAAACACACACAGGCACGCGCACGCTCTCACTGAGAGATGAAAATAATAAGGTGCAAATGGAATGAAGGTGAAGTGTAATGGTGGTCTGATAAAGCCATGCCTCATCTCAGCTCAATCCATGGCTGCTTTCTCACTCAGAGAGTAAATCGCCAGACAAATAGACCAAACAAAGGCAATCTGTGGACCGGCGTGTCGTWGACAGGAAATGAGAAGGCCATTCTCCCAAACACACGAAGGAAAAGCTACTTTATTGCTGACAGCTTAACCTGGAATCGCTGAGAATTACTGGCAAGTGACTGCAAGGTGACACGCGCCAAAAAGTCATGGATCATGACGAGACATTGTCRAAATTTTGTTGCCTTTCTATAATAGAGAAATGGGGAAGTAAACAGTGAAAAACAATTTCATGGAGGACCGGGTACTGAGAGCAATATCATTTACTGAGTGTGTGTTCAGTTTTCAGACACACTCCACCATCTTTAGTTAAAAAAAATCTTAATGTGGACACATTTAGAAAGATCTTCTGAGGTGGGGTTCAGTGTAAATGTTATTAAAAATATTAAATTAGCTATTGTAGACACATCAGCTCTTTRAATTACCTCATTTGAAACAAATAGAGTTTAATTTTGACCATAATGAAGAGTTAATGCCTAGTCTAAAGGTGGCATAGACCAAAGTGGATTGCCTGGGTTCTAAAATAACTCTAATGTTCGTGCAAACGCTGTTTTATAAGCCTTCATACTTTTCTGTATTTGGARTTTRTCTCAAACTGAGGTTGTTCAAAGAGCTGACTATAACAGGTAGAGTATTTTAACYATTTAAAATATATCCACAGAACCCCACGTCAAAAGATCTGAACTGTCTCTTAAAGTCTGAAATCTGCAAAATTTTGTTAAGTGTGGTATTTTACAGGTCACAGTTTTCTAACAGAAAAGAAAAAATGCACACTTTAGCTGATTTACTCCTCCTTAAGAAAAGTGGGGGATTCTTATTTTTTTCAATTTTTGAAGGGTTTTGGAAGCTGAAGTTTCACCAAAGCTATTCCAGACACGTTCACATCCCTTTGCGGTAATTCTAGCAACTGGAGAGCTCCAGGAGTGACTTGATTGTTGATGCTTGCACTTTTCCCCCTTGGGCTTTTCTGTCTCTTTCTCCTGCATCCATACCTTTCCACTCCCCCTCACCCACCCACCCGCACACACTTTCTGCACAAACCACCCCAACCCTCCCCCTACATCTCAACACCCCACCCCACCCCTCCTTCTCTTTCTGCCACCAGCACAATGTCAGGAGCTGTTGGATAAGCAGGCTTGTGTAGCCTCACTGCAGGGTTCGAAGAAGCAGGGAATAACAACTGTGCAATCATGATGTCAGCAGCGAATGCAGAGACACCTCTGTAGGTGTCCACTAAGTGGGTGGAGGACAGATGAGGAGGAGGAGGAGGTGAAGTTATTTCACTCAGAAGGTGACCTGTTTCCTTCCTCGTATATGTGAAGTGCGCATTCATCTGCTACTCCTATCTGTGCAGCAGGAAGATGACGACTGTACTTACATCAGACCTTTATGAGGCCACGTGTGTCGAACAGGTGAAGGACAACCAACTTACACTCCACTTGATAACGCCATAAAAGGATTTGAAAGAGCGCCAGGGGCGAAGACCCAGTTGATAGAAACGTATCTTTGCTCAGACCCGACCCGAGGGAAAGGGAAGAGAGACGGAGCAGCAGAGAGGACTTGGCTACCCTTCCTCACAAAGTGTCTTCATTAAGGCACAGTTATGCTTTCATGCTGACGGATTTATCATCTCTGCTATTGTAATCAGGTCACAAAAATCACACACAAAAGATTTCAACCCACAGCATCTTTTTCCATAAAGACGAGAATATGTAGGTGGGCTTTGACAGAAATGGTACCTTTTAAAGCCAGTTTTAAGAAGGCAGACATATACTTTGTATTGAGGTACTTGAAAGAGGTCCATTAGTATGTCAGAWTACAAAAGCTACAATATAAAGAAGCTATGAACATCAAAACATTTAGAAAGAAAGGGGGCTTGCACTACTGCTGGGGCGGCTTTTAAAATCACATGGTTTTAAGATCACAAAAGTAACCAAGGGGACTAACATACATTAGACCTGATTTAATGTGTTTGAAATATAGCAACAGATAATATGAAACAAATGTGGTTCACATATATTTATTCCTACAGGGCTGCCACTCACACCTTTCTATTTCATTCACCAAACTCTTCAGTTCGGGTATTTTTTTGTGGGGGTGTTTACCCCCCAAAATTTCTGGCTATCAGTACACTATAAAGAAGGACATGCAATCATGCTATAAAATAACCAAACATTCAATTAATTTTAAGATTTCAAGAATTGGGCCATAATAACTCTTCTGGTCTTTGGAGAATTTAAAGTTAGGTTTAATACCTTACACAAACARTAAACTTGAATTATGAGAATATAAAAGATAAAATATGAACCCCATCTAATAAAAGGCRTTTCAACAGTTGTGCAGTGAGAAATTCTATCATTCAGTAATTTATTTTTATTTCTTTAGTTCCATATCACAACAAAAGTCGTGTCAGGATGCTGATTCTTTCAAGCCTTCTCTGTGTGAATAAGACTAAATGTGATCCACTCACTCTGAGCCCGTGATGATGTAGCCAAAGTGTCTGTCCTTCCCTCTGCTGGAAAACTCCTTGACTCCTACGTGGACCAGCTGGGTTTTGATCTTCATGTCCTTCTTCTGCGGCTCCTCTGGCTGCTGATTTCCTGCTGGAGCCTGATMCGCCTGCATCCACCTGTCAGTCTCGGAGCCCACCTGGGCATCAGACCCATCTGGTCCACCGCTCAACCGCAGGGTGGAGCCTTCCTTTGCGGGGACGGACACGATCTTCTCCTCAGAGAGGTGGGGAACTGGAACTTGGCCCTGCATTGTTTTACTGTGGACGTTCTCGAGTCCCACTAGTTTCTGAAGGGGAGGCGGTGGTGGGCCGCTGTTTACTCCTGGAGCGTCGCCAAACGGCTCCATGTTGAGGTAGTCCAGCAGCTTGGAAAAAAATACTGAGTGCTGTTTGGGGGAAAAAAATGAACTGTTTTGTTATGCCAAGTTTTAAAGGGATCCATGATTAGTTGTAACATTAGATATTATTTGACAAACATGTATTTAAACTGTAAAATAAAGACTGTAAAAATACTGTGGGATGTTCAGTTTTTATAAAAAAAATTTAACACGGACGGAGCCATTTTATTTACATGCAAAGCATTCTGGGTAAATGATGACGTGGATAGGTCCTCGGTGTGAGCGAGCTATATCCACCCTGAAGGTTAATCTTGGACAATATCTGATGATTGACTCTTTTAAATGAAACCAGAGAGCGTTGACAGAGAGGAGAAGGTAGAAATGACTCAGCTGTAACTGAAAATATGGATGGAGGACAACAGAGCTGCTTCATGGAAGAAGAACCCCAGCTTAGCCTGTTAGCTTTAGCATTAGCACTAATGCTGTATTGCCTTATGTGTATTAGCTCAGCGTTAGCTCAACAAACCAAAGCTAAACTGAGGTCCTCCATCTGTATTTTCAGTTACAGCTGAATCATTTCTACCTTCTCCTCTCTGTCAACGCTCTCTGGTTTCATTTAAAAGAGTCAATCGTCGGATATTGTCCAGGATTAACCTTCAGGGTGTATATAGCTCGCTCACACCAATGACCTATCCACGTCATCATTTACCCAGAATGCTTTGTGTGTAAATAAAATGGCCCCGTCCGTGTAATATATTTTTAAACTTTTAGTTTAAAAATTATAAAAACTAAACATCCTACAGTATTTTTACAGTCTTTATTTTACAGTTAAAATATATTTTTATCAAATAAAGTCTAATGTTATAGCTAATCGTGGATCCCTTTAATGGAAATGACAGTTTATAAAGTTGATAAAATTTATATTTTCATTGCCAAACATAGAAAAGGTGTGAATTGTTTCTTCTGGCATCATTTCTGAGACCGAGTGCTGATTCAAAAGATTAATAATTATAAAACGTTTTTCTAGCCAACTATTAAAGTGTGCATTCAGTTTCATGACATGTTTACAGTCAAATAAGAGATTTGCACATCACTAAGAAGCTAGAAGTCTTTCAGGTTCTAAACATTCAGCAACAAATAACAGGACGTGCAACTTTTCAAATCACACCTTTAAAGCAGCATTTAAAGTGAATGACAAGCAAGCCTGGACATATCTCCCTCCCTGAGAAACCAATTTGTTTTTGAGCAGAGCAATTTTAAATTCACCTTGTCAATGGACTCTTTGTCGGCAMCGTCTGTTTGTTGGCCTGGAAACAAACACAATGTATGTGAACAGACTGTGTGAAAACCAAGGTTCTCCTTTGTGTTTAGCAGAGAAAAGCAGTTATGACACAAAATGAACGGCTCAGAAATACATCAGACAGAATTCTGTATGAGCATTACATGAACAAAGCCTTGCTATATCATTTATAAACTCACAATATCTTGTAGTCTTGTATTTATTAAACAATAAATTATGCCCCCCCCCCCAGCAAAACAAACACTAACCTTGTTGCTTTACTTTCAGCATGTCTTTCAGATTCTGCTCTTTATGTGATTTCAGGTCCTGGTCTTGATTCAGGCGCGTTGCTGCCAGTGGCTCCTGGTTACCCTTCATCTCCCCCGTGGAGGTAGTGGCTCCCGGTCCTGGCTCCTCATCGACCTCCTGCAGAGCTCCTGTGATGATCTCAGCCAGTCGGTCCAGGTCTTTGCCCATCAAAGCCTCCATGTGAACGTTGTGTCCCCCCAGCTGCTTTACCGCATTCAGGAAGAATCGATCTGAACAGAGAGGAAAACCAGATTAATAGAAATAAAGTGTTCCACACAATTTACACACAGCTACATTAACATGATGTGCTGYAAAAATTGAAACCCGAGTGTGAAATATGTAATAAAATCTGCATCAAAAGCTGAACCTACCATCCGTGGTGCTGAGAGGCTGTTTTGCGGTGAGCTGGTTTGAGCTAGCCTTGAAGAGCAGTCTGTTGAGATCAGGCTGCGCAGTTTTGGAGCCGAAAGCGGCCTGTGGCTCTGCATGATTGCTGTGAGCTGGCTGCGTGTAGCTGAGGTAGTGAAGCTTCCCTTTGGGCCACGCAGCCTCAGCACCTGTGCTGCCCTGCTGAGTGCCTGATACACCAGAAAGAAGCTGCTCCAGATGGTTGGAGAGGAGCTTGTTCTTGTCCTGGCTGGAGTAGGTTGTACCGAGCTTGGGGTGCTTGCCCTCTCCACTTTTGGTGATGACTTTGGTGACTGGAGGCTGGCCAGCTCCTTTCTGAAGGCTGTAGATGGTTGTCTCCTTCCAGCCCTGTTTGGGTTTTGGCTTAGCTGCACTATCAGGCCTGATGTCTTCATTCTGAAATACAAAGGTTGCCACAGAACATGAAGAACATTATTAATTTGTCAGACAATTATTTTTTTTCAATTCTAAGCTGTGTGAATGCAATAAGTTAAACAGTCAGGTCTCAAAAAAATTGTCATATTTTTACAGCAATACTGTTCACAATGTGTCTTTTACCTTGAAACATTTCTATGATAATAGTTTATGTATATATACTCATCAATAACTTAAATAAAACTGTGCTGATCCTCCCTGTTACTCACATGTTCTAATATTTTTTTGATGTTTGCAATATCCCCAAATATATTATTTTATTCAAGGATTCAAGAGTTTATTGTCATTGTCAAAAGGCAACGAAATTGTGTTTGGAGTACAACACTCAGTGGTAGTAGCAGATTTCCCATTAAAAGTGCATATGAGGTAAAAGTGACACCAGTGCTTGCACACATACATCTTACAAAAAATATAAATGAATAAACAAATAAATAACCAGCTCTCCAACCCTGCTATAATAAATAAGTGAAAATGTAAGTATTCACTTATTTATGGAAAAAAAATGTATAAATATCTAAAGGGAGAATTCAGATTTTTCAAAGAAGGGTTTTGTGTAAAATAAAATTTAACACAGCTGATGTTCCAGCTGAAATACTTTGATAGACCTACTGGACTAGGCTGTACAGGAAGAGTTACAGCTAGCTGTCYGTAGTTCAGTCTGTAAATATTTAGAGAATTCTACTATAATAAAAATGTGAGAAAAAATGAACAGCAATTCATAAGTTTGTTGGTTTYGAGGTTGGTGTTGTTTTAAGAGCGCAGCAATTTGTTTTTGTTTCTGCCCTATTCAGACTAGCGTTTAGCTCGTCATTCCTTCCAGAATTAAACTTTATTTCYCTACATAGAGTGAATTCAAAAAACTATCTACAGCAGGTAAARTAATAATTGCCAATTTTTCCACAGAACGTCACTTCAAAAGATCTGAGCCACAGCATCTCTTTGCATTAAGTGCTAAATAATAAATGCGCCTATGTGAACATGCTTGACTGAAAAACATCYGAAAAACGTTACGTTAGCCACAACTACACTGATCCACTTCCAGCCTTATTTTTGTATATTTCTGAAAAGCTGAAGTGGCAACATTCATTCGATCCATTTTCATCCTGGTCTGGGGCTCCTCAGGAGCTTTTGATTGCTCCACGAGAACATCAAATGGGCTGAATCGGGTCACCATCAGTGTGCCACGCTTTAGAATAAAAATGACAAGCAACCTGGGCTCAATGAAATGGGACAGGATATGAATAGGGATTCCAGATCAAAGACAACTGCCCTTGGAAATTGCATTATGGAAATCCAAGATGAGATAATGTCACTCAAAGAGTCATTTCATGCATTTCCACAACAAAACTTTAAAAGCACATCTCTGCTGTTTGAGAAGCAGCAGTATTCCTTATCTTTGATGGTAAAAAAAGTCTAAGTTAGCCATATGAGTTTATATTCCACATATGATGAAACATGTATCTACRTTACAATGCTAGATACACAGGTGTTTAGAGGCATTTTTGCCATTTGAGAGTGCAGCTGGGATTGATACCAGCACCAAACTGTGCAATTTTGTCCTTTCTTCTCTTTTTGACTTTGTCCCTGTGAAGACAGGGAATCWTTCTTTCTATGTGAGTCATAACAGCCCACGCACGCAGCATACAGTACATCCGAGGCACTGAACAGCATTATTATCCAAGTCACTGCAACACTAATACCAGCTCTCTCCCTCGATGCCATTTTCTGTCTTTCAAACGTATACAGAGAAAATGTCAGTCTTTCTCAGCTCGGCATACTGAGGGACCATAATGGCATTAGCACAGCAAGGCGGAGGTGCTCTGCCATTCATGCTAACCATGTTTGCCTCTTTCCATCACGCTGCCCAACAAAGAAGCTCATTTCATCAATAAGGAAGGTCCTGAACTCTTCAACTTTGCATTATGGCTGCACTGACACGGCAGCAGGAAGCGGCTCAGCTATGAAGGATTTCAAGAACATTTCGCACAAAGCCGGGTGTCCATCCTAAATATGAGAAGTGAATAATGTAAAGAGGTGATGAAGGACCTTTGTGTAAAAAAGGGTTCCTGCTCAGTAGGGGAGAAGGAGATGACAGAAAGAATGAAACAAAAGCRAAGAAAGGATGACACGATGAAAGAAAACGACAATAAATGACTCTTGGACAAAAGGGGAAAGACAAGAAGATGTCCTCTAATAAATTGACATTCCTGAGATGGGTTTGGTTTGGTTTTATTTACTTCATAGAAAAATAAGACAGTATTTTTGGCCTTCATTTTCAGTGCAGAATTATTTTAAAGCTCTAAACTTTTATTTGAGTATTGAAAACAGTTTCACCTGTGACAAACTTAAACCTGAGTTTGAGTGTTTACAGTATTGGACAATAAAYAAAGGGCCATTAACAAAGTTTACTCAAAGGTTAAACATTTTCGAGCCAGTCAGTGTGAGCGCTGACAATTAATTTGCCATTTTTGTGATAATTATGACGTGTTATTTTTCATTTTTGTCATAGACAAATTKTTTTGTTCTTATCTATGAATCGTTTTACAACACATTTAAATATTGGAAAAAAAAAACTAAAAACCGTGTAAGCTTTCTCAGCAAATGAATAAATTAAMGTCAACCTCAATGAGAGATTTTGGGGTAAAAAAAGACATCTAAATCTTTCCGTATATGCAGATGATAAGTTTGGACAAAATTTGGTACAAAGTAGGTTTACTGAAGTCTAAACTTTGTCATCGACATTAATTAAAGGTCTGACTTTGTCCGAACTTGGAAAGACAAAAAAGTAATTGCTAAGGAAGAAGTCAAACTTGTGAACTCCGGCTAATGAGCACTTCCTGCCCCCTACAGAGTTTTTTAACCACATCTGCAACCAGACACTAGACCGTTAACTTAATCTGACCACATGCTGAAAACTAGTCCTCTGATTGACTAAGGTAAAGTTAATATTAACCTTTTCTGTGCCAGTATCCTTTTCTGTATCAGGCTGTTTGTWATTTATTATAAATTTAATACATTGTGGCCGTATGAGGTAGTGAAYCAGATAAGGTGCACCAAATGAGAATAGTGAATTATTATGAAATGCAAAATTCTACTGAACCTTTTTAAAAAACAATACTGTCATAGTTAAATGTATGTACACCTTCTTCCCATTATAGGGCATCATCAATGTATGTTTTTTTTTAATTTACCAGGTTAGAAAATGAAGCAAAAATGACTTTACATGAACAAATTAACATGACATATTATATTGTCCTTATCAATTTAACAAAAGCTAAGACAAAATTTAGAAGCATGCATGTGAAAGARTACAACCCACATTTTTATAGTTTGTAGAAACGAGTTTGGTCGCAATAACATGAAATAATAAATTAAGGCTTTGATTTTTCTTATGATCTCACATAAAATTTGTGAGTTGAAATGAATGTCTGTTTTTTTATGTTGTCATTAATAAATTTCAATCCAGCCACATACAGAGKGCAAAAACAAACAAAAATGTTTTGATGACAACCATGTTTTACCATCACATTTGTAATTATTGATCTTTGTGTACTCATCACAGCTACTTTTGCACCATGTTGCCATCTCACCTGAGTCTTGCTTCCCTCTTGCAGACGCTCTGTTTGTTGATCCAGTTCAGCCGGTGGCAAAAAGCCCAGCCCCGTCAGATACTGCTGAAGGTTTCTGCTCAGCTCAGCCTGCGCGGGCCTCGCTTTTCTGTTCTTAGAGCTGCTGTACGTCGTCAGGCGGCTCGAAGGTGAGTTCTGCTGGCGGAGGGGGATRTGTCTCAGCTTGGAGAGCTCTCTGGAGATGACCTGTTGAGTGATGTCGTCCTGCCAAGTCAAACCTGGAAACAAAGAGGTCAGGAATGAAAATTGGAAAAGCCAAGCAATTAAAGTTGGGTCATCCTTCTGGTCTAAGTTGCTTTTCCAGGTTAAAATTAGCTCACCGCTCTACAACTTGGGGCAAACTTTTAAACTTACTTTAAAAATGGAATTTGATATAAAATAATAAGTAATAATAAGTTTTTTATGTCTGTATCTCCATATCCTTTTAAATATTTGGGTAATAACACTACTAACAAAATCTTAGTCTTGAAGAAATTTGTTCAGTAGAATGTAAAGTTGACTCTAAAACAAAAAAATGGTTATCAAACACGTCAAGTTGAAGAATTATTTTAAAATAAAATTAGTAACAAAGAGTTTTATTGCCCTTTGTTCTTGGTCATTTATTTACTTCTACTTCTAAAGATATCAGACAAACTTTGAATTTATTTCTTATTTGTATTCTCTCATTTTTGTGTGGAAGTTTTTTTTTGTAAATCATTGGTGTTTTTTGTTTCGTCACACCCTTTTTCATCAAAAAATCATGGCACTACTGTACAGAATCGTACGTCAACATAAACATGTACACTCGCACACAGACAGCACAGCCACTCCACTAGCCTGGAGAGAACGTCACACTGTGGCCTGATGTCATGCCAACATCTCAGCTAATTGCCAACACATGGTTAGGATGCAGAACTCCTGGGCAGGGGCAAAGCACACTGGTGCCAGGACCAGATGGAGCTACTCAAGCAAAGAAAGAAAGAAAGAAAAAAAAAAGAAACCCAAAACATGGCTCCTTTCCCAACAAGCCAACAGGCACAGAATTCCATCAGCAAAGGGACACACCGTGGATAATATACTTTCCTGCAGAGCCAAGATGCTCACTGATGACACTTAAGCTGTGGTGCAGAGGCATTTTTAATGACAACTAACCAGCTACATTTTGGTGCAGAGTCTCGATCACCTTCAGCACTCAAGACACTGATAAACACAGTTAATCATATAGATATAATTAAATAAAACAAAAGCTAGCTGATATTGAAGGAATTTGAGGAAAGCATGAAACTATTAACCCAGCAAAATGTCTCCATTAGCCTGGTTTCTCGTAGAGGTTTAGAAAACACTAACTGAGGATCTGAGAGCTGCAGAGGAGTTCCTGATGCCTCCAGTCATTCTTTTGGCAGCGTTGACTGGAGCACGAAGCAGAATATGTTGCCAGTCTTCTGGAACGCAGCTCAGCCATCAATCCACACAACAATGACATTTAACTACCCGTGGCTTACCCGATGTGGGGCATCCTGGCTATACGTTACCACAGTGATGATCATTTACGCTATCATCAGCAGCACTGGGAGGGTGGTGGATTCTGATCTGTTCCATATGCTGCCTGCAGTTTACTGCAGCTGGTTAAATGCTTTTCAGAGTAAATGTGTTATTTCACCACAAAGTGGATGAGACTGGCTTCACTGACTGTGACACCTCTATTGCTCTGTCTCCTGGGAATGGGGGAGGGGGGGGCACTTATTTTCATGCATACTGTGTTTTGTCAGTCTGTGATGGGCACACTTGACGGAAAAGGTATGTCGACACAAATTACAGAGTCAAAATGAGTCGTTCCGCAAAGCAAAACGTCAACAAGAGCGGTGATATGGCTTTTCAAGTGGGGCAATGGGGGGGTGAGTTCCTCTCGGTCGACCCCTCAGCTGATTATTCCGTCCCCCCCGAAGAGTCGAGTCCAGAAGAAGAGCGGGCTTCATCACAGAGTGCTGCCACTTTCTGCCTGCTGACGGTAGCCGTCCCATTTCAGGCAAACGCCTCAATTAATTAGCGCCTTGCCATTAGCACAACAGCTTTAAAAAAAGGGATGATATTTCAGTTGGCCTTCTGTCTGTTTCCTGTGTGACAGAAGAGAGAGGCAGAGGGGATAGGTGGGAGGTCTCCTACATATTCAAAGCCTATTAGATGATTTCCTGTCTACAAGTCTTCTTGTTTCATCTGGAGTTTTTTTATGCAGATTCTCCCCTTTCCTTTACTCCTGTCCACCAACTGATTTTAAAGCCATTAATTGAAAAGACTGAATAATTTAGTAGCGAGTTCAGTCTAATTGGTCTAAACGAAACATGTCACTTCAAGTTTGACACATAAATGCAACGAACAGTGCATTAGCGAAGACAAGCACCAAAATCTATCCGTAAGTGCCACTTGTAAGACACAATTTGTTTTTCGAAGGTGTCATGCTTTTTCAAATTGATTTCAATTTTCTTTTAAAATTAATTGGGACAATCTGTGTTTGGGACAAACAAAATGCAATTTTTTGCAAACCGTTTAAGTCCTATATTTATTCAAAAGAGGTCAAATACAAGACGCTGAGTTTAGAAAAATGTTCTTTCTTTTCTCATTTCCATTTTGTTGACAATCTTACATTTAATTAAAGAGTGCAGTCAACCCTAAAAGAAAATAAATAAATGAAAGTATCTTTTTTTTTTTTCATTGCAACCTAAAATCTCTCCCTGCATGWTAGTTTGTGAATGTTCTCTGCAGCACTATCCTCCCTGGTTGGGAACAAATCAGAATCTGAGAAAGAGCTAGCCCTGCTGTCTGTCTTTCCCAGAAGGCATTTTTTGCACAGGAGGTAAACTAGGACCATAAATAACACGTTTCAGTAACTCTGTCGAGGCGTGATGTCAGTTTATGGTCAATGATTCTCCCATGATTGACAACTCCTGTCGATTGGCACTAAAGCGTATGTCACAATGCATCATCTTATTTATCTTTACGATGACATTATATCTTCTGCTCTGCACAGGGTCCAGAGAACAATTGACTGCAGGTCACTGTAGTTTAACGCGTTTTTTTTTTCTGGAGTGAAACTGACTGCTGAGCCTTGTCCACTCCTCAACTCCACTCCACTGCTCAAAAAAAATAAAGGGAACACTTAAACAACGCACGCTAACTCCCGATCTTAATCAATGAAATATTCACATTGAGTACTTTGTTCTGTACAGAGT